GTGAAATTGTCGCCGTGTGCCTCGAGACCAACCTGTCCCTCCTGCAACCTGCCCCGTCTCGCGTCTCTTTGCTGCTGCCCTGACACTGGGCAAGTCCAGTCAATGTCAAAGTGTTGCTGCCTTACAACCAAGTTAATTGCACTGCACGCACACGCCAAGACGCAAGTCAAAAGTCCCAGGGCTCGGGCCAAGACTCGAGACTCGAGACTCGTGTGTGAAATATCAAGTTTCCCCCGTGTCAACTTGGGCACACATTCGCACAGTGGGCACACAAAAGTTGCAACCTAGCCTCGTCAAGTAAGACGAGTGTCTAAAACAGTCCCTTTAAATATCAATGGTTTGCTATACAAATCAGGTTAGCAATCAACGATGTGCGATAAAATTATATATAATAATATGAATAGGTTAGTTTCCGAGATTATGAGAAATCGTTTATTGTGATTAATGAATTATTAATAAAAGCTATAGTCGAGTGAGCTAGACTACCATAAACTCCGCTGTTTTTGTTTGTTTTTTTTTTTTGCGATGTTGTTTGCCCCACTGTGCGAAGACTGTCGTCGTTGTGGTTGTCATTAGTCTGCTGCACTTGCTGTTGTAATTGTGACAGGAGCAACGAGCACGGATCGCCAAAAGGGTCATCCGATGGGCTGACTTACAAAGGGGTGGTAGGGGCAGAGCATGGGAATGGGCATGGGGGAGGGGGGAGGAGGATTGAGTATTGCTGCCTGGCAGGCAACGCGCAGCGTGATCGTGAGTGCCAGAAGCTGATTTCAGCGCGGCTACCGATAAGCGGCAACCACAACGACGACGACGGCAACGACTCTGCGACTGACAGACGCGTTGATTGGTTTTGCTTCACAAGAAGCAGGTAGAGGGGAGGACAATAGCTTGTACAATGCGAAAGGGGCAGTGAGGAAAGACATGTAAATTGCAAGCCAAAAAAAAAAAGAAGAAAAAACCTAAAACTGGTACAATTTTCAGTTTTTGGGTCATTTTTAGCCGAAATATTTTCTGTTGTCATCTTTTTACTGTTGCTGTGTTGCTTGTACTTGCTGCTGCAGTTGTTGTTGTTGTTAATTATATTTTTTGCTGATAGCCACAACGGCCACGCGTCCCGTCCCTATCACCACCATCGCCTCCCCATAACCCGCCGGCCGGCAAGCACCTCTAGTCTGTGCTCGTTTGTAGCGCTGCATTTGACAAGTTTTTGCATAATTACCAAGACAAGATTCAGCGAGGCGGCGAGTCGATGCTGAAGAAGCTGTCGAGCAACTCTTTTTGACATCGTTTGTTCATTTTTTAGGGCCATTCATAAATTTGGTCGAACAACTCATAAATACTATCGATATCAACACCACTGGTGTATCGATATCATTGTGGACCATGGCCAAAAGAAGGCGACAAAGGTGTTGGACATCCAATCACACGTCTGAGCAGAAAGGCAGAGGGATGGGGACTGAGGAAGAGCTCCTCGCTAACGTTTCCTTCCTATCACATTGATTTAATGCAACGGCGAAAACAAATTGTTATGTTTTTGAGGGCCGCCGCAAAACATGGCCGCAATTAATCAAAGTTCTCGCATTACAATTAATCAAAAATCCACATTGGCGACCACAACAGGCCACAACAGATACTCTACCCTATCCTACCATATCCTTACATTACCCATTTGGCGTTTACCGCTGGCCATAAATATATCATTGCGAATGTGGCCAATAGAATTGACGGCGGCGGCGTCAAAATGCGCACCTTAGAAGTCAAAAGCCGCTGACAGCCGCACATAAATCAGTTAGCCAACAAGCTCCTGTACCAGCCACAAGGAATCCACACCATTCCGAGTGGGTGTCAGCAGAGAGTGGCTGTAGTTTCATCTACAGCTATTTATACTGCATCATCCTTTAGATTTAGCGGCTTTTATGCTTTTATGTGGACATCAGGCGGCAATTTGATGGCCATGAACAATTGACAGGCAAGATGTCAAACATTTTGATGGTCAGATTAAGAGCGAGAGAGAGAGAGGTAGAAAAAACGGAAGAGATGAGTGAGAGAGCTAAGCCATGCCTATCTCCCAAATACCAACGAGATATCCCTCTTATTAGGCTTCAAATCTCAGCCAATTTACTGCCGAATCTAAATTATGTAGAATAATATAGATCAAAGTACTAAGCTTACATCGAGAAATAAAATAATAGAAAATTGTTTCGAACTTAAATAGTTTTAAGCGTAAAAGAAATAATATCACTTCAGTAGATATTTGAAAAATACAATTATCCACCAAATACAAAATAATTGCAATATGAAAAGCAGTTTATTACACAGAAACTACACAAAAATGTCAAAAATTTCGCTGACTGTTTTTTTTTTTTTTTTTTTTGGAATTTACCCCTGGTGCTGTTGAATTTGTTGTTGTTGATGCCCCACCATCATCATTAACATTACATACTTTATGTGTATAAAAAAATAAATTCAAGATGACACAGTCGCAATGTGATTAACGTTAAACTTATGCAAAGTGCAACAGTGCAGTAATAAAAACAACAACAACAACAACAACAATGAGGGAAAATGAACAGCAACAACATCGACAGTAACAACAAATACCTGGAAGCTCGACCTTGGCTTGGAGCGCGTCAAAAATCGTACCGCAAAGTGTCTGAAAGTTGGCAAAAACAAAAAAAAAAAAAAAAAGGATGAAGAAACTAAAAACAACAACGTAAAACTGCGAATATTTTGTGTCTGATCTGAAAAGGAGTTCCAGGAGCCGCTCACAGAAGTGTGCAAAAAGAGAAAAAATTCGAGAAAAAAAAATGAAGAAGAAGAAGCAGCGAAATGATGATGCGTTGTCAAGTTATTGACAGGCCCAAGTCGATATTAATGACGACTTCATTCGCGGATATCGCGCCAGCTTCAATTTTACAGTGGATTTGCTGACTCTGGCTGTGTGGATTCATTTTGCTGATTCCATTTGGGATACATTTTGCTGTTGGCCGTGTCTTACTAGCAATTACAAGCGGCCAAATATTATTGATCCATATTGTTGAGGCGTTGCGTTCAGTTATCTGCCCCCATCCACGGGGTTTCGCTCGTTTGCATATTCGCATATTAAAGCCAACATGTCAACATAATTTATATTAAATTTCTGCGTCAGGTAACGATAGCGCCTGCTGCTGATTGCTAAATATATCTGCATGCGGCGTGCGGCATGCTGCATCTCCATCTCAGTTGCACCTTACACACAAATGGCATTAAGCCGCGTCCACAACAATAACAACAGTTTTTGATTGCGACCCCAATTTACAAAAATTATGAGTATAGAGTTTCAGATATGAGTGAAATGTTTCTGAGCCAACTTAATCAGTTCTCAGACATGAACCCTTAAAAGTGATAATTCTATATATCGAACCAATAATATATATGAAATAAATATCAGGACTCGGCAAGTAAGAACTCTACTGACGCTTTTTATGCTGTACCGAAAAAGAGCATTCACTTGTCGTATTATGTCTGCCAATTGTGATTCCGTTATTGTTGCCTGCTCAAGCGGCATTAAGAACCAATCCAACCGAAAGCAAACTGAAACTGGCCCCGAGTTAACGTTCGAAGGGAACGCGAAGCGTGCAAAAAATAATTCACAATTTATATGAACGTTTGCGAGCGATGTGCACGCAAACTGCAACTAAAACTGAGGCCACAGCGAATTTCTATTGCATCAACAATGATTATACGGCATGGCAAGATGTTTCCCAAATCAGTTGATCAGTTGACCAGTTGGTCAACTCTCGGTTGGCATCATCATGTGGAACATCTGGGCAATGCAATGCAATGCTATAAATGCTGCTGAACGAAGTGTTAAATGAGGCACAGCATGAACGCTGCCAGTTGCCAATGTCCAATGTCAAACGCGTTTGACACGGTTTGGCATAGCGTGCAACCAACACCAAGTCGGAAAGGACACACAACACAACAAAAAGAAAAATAAAACACCTAAAAGGACAACTCTCGCTGCGACAGCAAACAATGCCAAATATATCAAATGCTAAATACCAAATGCTGAATGCTGAATGCCAATTGCTAAATGCTTTCAAAATGCTTTCGAGTGCGGCGCAACTTGTCCTTGTCACACAACGGGTGCCTAGTCCAGTCCAGTCGAGCCCAGTCCAGGACGTTGCCCATAAAGGACATCAAGGCATTAGAAGTGTTAATAGATAACTGCCTCCGAGGAGCGCAGCAGCAGCAGCGACAGACCTTGGAGTAGCGATGAACAGTCTTATATATATATATATATATATATATATATGTATATGTATTGGAAAATGTTAAAAAAATACTTAAAATATAGTTTCAAATTATGATAATTTTATTAAGGTACAATCAATCAAGCTAGCTTTCCCTGAGGCTAAATAATATTCCTAAAAACTTGGTGTTGTGGGAATTATATTTTACTACGTTCAGTAGTTGGAAAATATTTGTATTCTAAAGCATTCCAAAAAGAGAAATTAAAAAATTTTTGCTTTCAATTGAATTGATTTTTTATATTTAAAGTTTTGAAGGGGTCTCGATTTTATTAAATGTTTCGAGAAGCAGTCCTACTATAATTTTGACCACAACTGTATACTTATATATATAAATATATATGGGTAGATACCCATATGTAGTTGCTCCCGTCTACTAGGATCTTCATTCCTTGATGCCTTGGCTATTAATGCATTAAACGTCATATATGTTGCTGCTGCTGCTGTTGCTGCTGGCGGCTTTTGGGGCCCCAAAGCCGCCACACGACCAGAGACCGGTTCACAGCCGGCACGCGACAGACAGACAGAGAGAGAAAGAGAGAGAGCTAAGTCAATAATCAAAAGCAGCTGAAAAAGAAACAAAAAAAAACTCTTCTCAGTCTGCCGCAAAGAAAGAAACACTCAAGACTCTTCCCAGCTCAAAGAGAGGACCAGAGAGATAAAAACAGAGACAGAGTGGGAGAGAGAGAGAGAGAGAGAAGACACGCAATGAGTGAGTTTATGGAATGAGTGATCCTTGAGTGGATGCTGTTGCTGCTGCTGGTTGGTTGGTTGGTTGGTTGTCCGTTGGTTTGGCTTGTTTGCACCTTTTGTCTGGAACACAGGTAGCCACAGAGCAGCCGGCTGCAGCAGCAGCAAAAGCAGGCAGGTGAGACTCATTCGTAGCTTCGTGGGCACCTATAAATAGCGCACACGGCGCAGGGAAGGGCATCAGAACAGCGACAGCGCTCGTAGGGCCAACAACAACAAGCCGTCACAAAAACTTCTAATTCAAACCTCAAACCAAAAACAGAATACTCTTCAAAAAAAATGGCACTAGGCAGCGAGAATCAAATCCGTAGCCACTATCATCAGCAGCAGCAACGCTTGACGCCGTATGCCAAGCCTAACAACTATCAGCAGCAGCAGCAACCGCTGCAGCAGCAGCAGCCGCTGCAGCAGCAACAGTTGTTGCTGGGTGATCAAGAGCAGCAGCAGGTGCCGTTTGGTGGTTCGGTGGTGCGTCGCAATGCACGTGAACGCAATCGTGTCAAGCAGGTCAACAATGGCTTCAGTCAACTGCGCCAACACATACCCGTTGCCGTCATTGCAGATCTGAGCAATGGCCGGCGTGGAATTGGACCCGGTGCCGATAAGAAGCTCAGCAAGGTCAGCACTTTGCGCATGGCTGTCGAATATATTCGACGCTTGCAGCGTGTCATCGATGAGAACGATCAGCAAGATCAGCAGCAGCAACATCAGCAACAACATCAGCAGCAACAGCCATCAGCCCAGCAGCAACAATTTAGCTACCAGCAGCAACAGTTGCAGCAACAGCAGCAGCAATTCTTGGCGCTGCAACAGCAACTGCAGCTCATATCACCCGGCAGCAGCAGCAGCTGCAACAGCAGCAACAGCTCTTTCTGCAGCAGCAGCAGCACCAGCAACTATTTTACAAATCAGTCCGTGCAGCTGAAGATGGAGCCCAGCTCTGGCAGCTATGAAGACTATCCCAATAATTCGTGCAGTTCAGGTGCGGAGGATGATGACATTCTTGACTACATCTCCTTGTGGCAGGACGATATGTGAGCCGAACAACAAAAGACTCCAACACTAACTAGTCAGACCCACGCACACATACAAACACACGCACAACAACACCTGGCAAAGTATTATTATTATTACCTCAGCAACCGCAAAAGTATTTATTTTAGTTATAAACTTTTTTTTTCAAAACGCACTTTTTTTTTTGTACAAAATAGTTTTAAGAGCGCTGTATGTGCCTGTTTTTATATAGTTTATAAGACTGCTAACCCTACGAATCTAGCTTATAAAATGGAAGACAATTACTTTTAAGAACCTTTTTTTTTAAGAATGAAAAATATATATATACAAATATGGAGGACATTAAACTGATCATTTTAAACAAATTCAAAAGATTTTTATTATGTGGCGGAAATAGGCGTTGACAAAGTGAACAAGTACCAAAGCTTAAAAGCGAGGCAGATGAATAAGAAGAAATAACAAATTTCCAGTGGAAAATGGAGACACAATAACATAACGAACTAAAAAATCTGAGTTTTAAAAATGAAAAATGTTGCTTGCTAAGTAAGAGCTTCGTTTGACTATAAAATATGTTGGTAAAACTTAAGGTTATCGAAATAGTTTTAATATATATGGTAAATCCATATAAAGGTCCAAGAAGAAGAAATTTGAGAAGAAAAAAAAACGAAAAAAAAAAGGGAACAAGATAATGCTGATAATAATCTTCCAGTTTGGTATAAGGATAATCTTATTTCGCATAAACATATATGCATTTTAAACAGTTTTGATCACAGAAGCTGCAGACCACATTAGTATTTACCGTTACAAGCTCGATTTGCGACAAATTGTGTTGGAAATGTTGCTGTCAAATTATGCAAACGATGTGCAAGAGGCAATCTTCTGAGAGACTCGAGCAGCAAAACAGAAGAAGCTAAATTACTTGATGCATATTTGCATATGGGAAAGGAAAAGGTTTTGTTTTTTTTTGGACTGTTGCATTGAATGCCGCCAATTCCGCAGAGCAATCGATCGATTGTCCAATTGAACTAATTTTGAGATATGCGCAAAATGCAGGCAAACAAAATGAGGAACAAAATTATATGTACATACGCACAGATAAACAAAGTCGGCAATTTACAGATCGCCCCCGACAAAACACGAAAGAATGGAAACTGAAAACTTGGGGAGACTGTCTGCTTTGGGGTTTTTGGGGGAGATTGGAACGGAAGCCGCAATGCGTCGGGACGAGGCGATGCAATGCGATTCGCGATGGTTCAGCAGAGATAAGCAGCGACTGCAACAGCAACGACAACAACAACAACAACAACAAGAGCAACAACAGCCGACAAACAATCGACAAGCAACCAACAACAAATAAGAACAATCGAGAACAACGACAACATTTGCAGTTGAAGTCCTCGCTTAGCGGATGCGTTCAGTTCTCAGTTCTAGGCTGAAGCTTCATCCGCTGCAAGAGCTGCTGCTCAAAAGACTCCCACGCGCATTTCCGGTCTGCTCATCTCGCTCTAACTCACTCTCGCTCTATCTCTCTCTCTCTCTCCCTCTCGCACACACACTCTGAGCAATGCCTCATTAATAGATAAATGAATTGGCATACGCATTTCCGTCACTTGCCAATGGCTTTGTGAGGCTTTTTGGGGCCGTCGTTTTGTTTTAGAGCCAATTTCGCTTACTGTTGTTGTTGCTGTTGCTGTTGTTGCAGTTGCTGTTGCTGTTGGGGTCTTGTGTTGCAATCAATTCGCCATGCAGCCAGCAGCAAAACGAACGGTTTTGCAAAACTCTACTCCACCTCTCAGCTCCCAAACGCAACCTTTGCTTCAGCTTTTGGGTTTTTGTTGGCCGCATCTTCATGGCACATTTATCGAATTATTATTTCCGGTTCTTGTTTTTTTTTTAATACCCTATAAATATTACAAAATCGAAAAAATATTAATAACAATAATAACAAAAGATATTGCATTTAGGACATTCTCTTTATCTGAACTAAGATTTTATAAGTATTTATAAGGTAAGCAAATTGTTTAAGTGAGGACATTTTTTTATTTTACAATAATAAACTTAATTTTCTTTTGCTGTCACTTATCTCTATTCGATCTAATTGAAATAAAGAAATTATGATTAATACCATATTAACAAACTAAGTTTTGGTTATATTTTTTTAGAAGTTTAGAGAATGCTATAAGCCAAAGAAAGTCAAAGTTCGAAGAGTATGTGCTAGTTGAGCACTCAACTTAAATCGAGCATATATTTCTGTCATTTTTGCATTGGGGCCTTATACACATACAGACATTTGTGTATGTGTGTGTATAATGTATGCAGCAGAGAGCGCAATCCAAGATCTAAAGACGAAGTACAATATCATCCTCGATGTGATATAGGGATATAGTGTTCGGGTAACTGACTGAAGGAGCGGGAGGAGGGAGAGTCTGGAGGGAGAAATCGCTCTGGTGGCGGTCGCTTTGGGCGACATACGACAAAACTGGCAAACTGACGACAGCAAACGGTGCAAAATCGAACGCTTTTTGTGTGAAAGTCATAATATGTTTGACAAGAACAAGATCGACCCAACGACGACAGAACCCAAGCGAGGAATACAAAACTAATATATAAATATATATATATATACATATATGTATATATATATGTATGCAGAATAATGTGACGGTACCCAAAGCGAGGCAAACAAATGGGTTGAGCACCTCAAGCTGGAGGAGTAGAATGCCACAAAGGTGCATGGCAAAGGAGTCGCTTGTTGCCGTATTTTTTTTACATACAGCAGTCAATGGCGAATGGGGAGCGAGGCTGGGGTCCCGAATAAATTTATGATTTATTAAGGATGCTCTGATTACAACACACCATTGACTAAGAGATCTTGGGGACCTGAAATGCAACCTGATTGATGTCTCGTAAATAACACTCGCATAAGCAACAACAACAACAACAGAAGAGGCACCAGCAGCAGCAAGTGAGTTATTTGTTTAACATGAACAGCGAACACGTTTTTGACTCACAAATGTTGACAAAGAATAATGTAATTTATGTTCAGGCTCTCGGTACGCTGACATATTTTCATTTTCCTCTGTTTTCTTTTTATTTTGTTTGCCCAAGATTTCACCTAAGCCCAACTAGAAAGAGAGAGAGAGAGAGAGAGAGAGAGAGGCTGGGCAGGATCGAAAGAGGTTGTCAACCGCATTTGCAATTAGAGATATTTGCACCGATATTGCATAACTATAATATAAATGTGGGGCGTCTTCCACTTGCCAACAAAAGACACAATTGAGACGGCAAAAGATCTTTGGCCAAAGGACATGCCGAATTTCAGAATTTCACAAGTTTCTAGCGAAGTAGAACAACAAGTGCATCTAAGGATTTCCACTTGTCGCTCTGATCGTAAATTAAGCGCTTAGCGTTTCAATTTATTTTTGTTCCATTGTTACAACACAATTTCCACATTTTCCATTATTTTCGAGTTACCCCAATACGCAGATAATTAAAAACGCCCACAGCTTGGCCCAAAAAAAGGACTCAAAAGGTGCATTGTGTAGCCGAAAAAAGGACAATTGCGTGCTGCATGCAACAAACATTTCAAAGTTGAAATTGGTATTGCAATTGGGACACTATATATGTAACAATTTATACACATAGTTTCATTGGCTAAGCTGATTAGGATTCGATTCTTTTCCATTCCACCTGAAATACTAATAATACGTTGCGTACATTTATAAGATGATATAGGGGCTGTATAAGAAGCATGAAGCGATCGATGGGTTCCACGCAGTTCACTCAAGAATAGAACTGTTCAAATTGGGCATTATCGATTTTTCAGAGGATTATCAGACACTTAAGTGTATAAGTAATTGGACGTTTCAGAGATCATTTTTATTGCGCACATTTTGTGTGACAATTATGTGGGCTACAACAAGTGGGAATAGATTGGGAATCTATGTAAGTTTGGCTTGGACATAGCAAGTAGATGAAGCAATTAAAATAAAACTCGAAACTAAAAAATGAGAGATTCTCTTTTCTCAGAGAGACATACATATGTATGTATATATAATTAAATGCGATTCTTTTAGCTCTCAGGTTGGATTTGGCGAATGCTTTATGTTTTAATTGCCGTCAAGAAGGAGACAAATGTCTCAATTTGCTCGGGGCACTTTCTTTTAAGTTGCCTCCTGCTACACAAATTGGGCCACCGAAGTAAGTTAAATTAATAACGCAAAGTGCGCACCGCATTCGTCAAAAGCAGACGTCTTTTATTATTTATTTTTTATATACACATTTTTGTTTTTTACTTTTTATTTAATTGTAGGCTTGTTGGGCAACAATTTTAAAAGTTAATTACTAAAGTAAAATACACTTTAAAATTCGCAGAGTGAATACCCTAGCAACGTTTTTAGTATTACTACTTTCAAATACAATATTTACAGCAATGAAGTTTTGATTGATGTGATATAAGGCATTATATTATATATTAATATAATAATATGCCTTTATCATTACTTATCCACTCCAATTAAAAGTTTAATAGTTGAGTTTTCTTATCTGGCTAATTAAATTCGGGTTTCTTCCGATTCTTTATTTGTCAAATATGTACATATGTAAGATATCGCTGCAATCCCATTGGGTTTTCAAGAACAACAGAAGTAATAACATAGAGTGCATACCTAGTAATAAAATGACCAAATCTTTGATAGAGTATAGTGATGCCTTACAATTATGCATCGTATGAAGATGAATGCGACCCAAACGGAAAGTTACCCCTTTAAGAAGGCAAAAGTGTAACTCAGGCACCCAAAAGAGAACTCTAAAAAAAAGCAAAGAGACTAAATATGTTAATTGGCAAAATAAAATGAAAAACGTGAATCTTATTGTGGGACTAGCATTCAATGGATACTACTGCTAAATGAACGGATGATGTAAAGTTGAAATGTTGGACCAAATAAAGGGAATGAAATAAATGGTGCTGCTGCGTTTAGATGATTGCAAGATCAATAGTTTGGAAGAATGTTGCAGTAAATATG